TTTTAAAGTGCTTAACAAATAAAATTGGATTGGATTGGATACAGAGGGAGTGGACCAGAACAGAGACACCGAACCCTGTAAAACAGGGCATTTCATGTTTTTTGTGGCCACCGTAGTTTCTTCTACACACTTTGAAGGCTGAGCTGTGTTCACATGGTTGTACGCAACTGAATCCTGCACTCTGGTCCTTTTGATAAAGTTAGTAAAAGTGATCGACGGTGTGCGAGATTATTTGGTTCTTTCACAACTATTAAAAACATGAATGAGTGAGTAGAATCTAACAGAAGCAGACATTGCTTTTAACATTTTTAACAAGACTGCAATATACAGTTTGCTTAGTGTATTAGGTTTGAATCATTTCAAGGCAACTGCACAATAACCATAGCAGGTGAATTTGCACATCCCTACATAACAATATATAAATTATAAGTATTTGTAAATAAGAAAAACACTTTTATTTCTACAGAAAAACCCATAACGGAAGCAATGAACAGTTGAGGAATCCTTCATTGAGAAAAGATTGAAGGCCAAAACCCACCAGAAGGATCTCGATGGCTCCCAGGATGTACATGGCTCCAGCGAAGGTGGTGCCCAGGTAGAAACACAGGCCCACCGCCCCCCCAAACTCTGGACCCAGAGAGCGGCTGATCATGAAGTAGGCGCCTCCCGCTGGAGGGGGAGGAGAGGGAAGGAGCGCGAGAGAGAGAGAGAGAGAGAGTGGTGCAGGTTGTACATCAGGGTTGGAAAAAGTGGAAATGGAGAGGGAGAAGGGGTAAAGTAAGGTGGTAGAAGAATAAGAAATGGGGGGGATTAAAGACATATTGAAAAGTATGGAGAAAGACAGATGGGACATAGAGAGAGAGAGAGAGAGAAAGGGATGGATGTTAGTAACGTTATGATTTTAGGAGGTAAAGAGAGAGAAAAGAGGACAGCTGATGAGAGAAGTCATCCTATGCTTGGAGAAATAAGCATAATGTTCTACATGATACATCGGAGTAAGAAGACAGAGCAGATCTTTGGTCAAATAGTATCTGCAAACGACTCTTTACTGTTTTGTTTTTTTGCCTCACTCGGAGTACAAGCACTGCACCTAATGTGTGTCAGTATAAAATAACTGATGCCTGAAAGCTGAAATCAAATGCTCGATCAGACTCAGAGGTTTGTTTACTTGTTCTCTGATCTGACAGTTCCTGATTTGTATCAAAATGTTGTCATTTTGTAAGTCTCTATTTTCCGTTCAGCCTGACAGTGTTCATGTTCATCATCAGTTATTTCTTGTCAAGAAAGAAGAGTTATTTTGTTTTATTTAGTAGTGATTCCAGTGAAGCCATTCTTACCAGTTTCATCAACAACACTGAAGCTGCAGTAGCTGTTGCTGATTTCATTTCAGTTAATTTTATGTATTTTTACATGAATAAGTTGACTCAGGACTTTCTGTTGCCGTTTTTTATTAATGTAGATAGCTAGCCATGTGGGAAGATGACATAACCGTTCTTAATCCAGTTGATCGATCAATTGTTTCTCTAACTGGGGAGCACATGAATCAAGGAGACTAAGTTTAATTATCTTCCTTTGTACCAAAACTCAGGTACATTTCAAATAAAACCCAGGCTTCCTGGTGCACATGACATTGATCTATGTAACTGGTACTCAAAGTGAGCTTAAAAAAAAAAAACCAGTAAATCACAATTTGCTGATACAATTTGAACCAGTTATTAAACAGTACGTGGGGGAATCATCCAGTGAGAGAAACTACAAATTCACTGCTGCCTGAGCTCAGAATTCAGTGTTTGGTTTCCAAAATGCAACCCTTTAACAAAACAAAGCACACACATTGTTTCTGTACATTAGACCAGCGGTTCTCAACTTCTTTGTCTAATTATTTAATTAACTAGAAGTAGAAACTTTACCCTGCCAGTTATGGAATATCTTAAAATCTTATCAAACACAAAAAAAGCAGTAGACAAACAACAAAATTAATGTTCATTAATAAAAATGAGCATGTGAATGTGATGTTGTATATAACAGCTCAAAAAAAACTGTCCCTGTAAAGTTTTCTACACATCTCACAGAGTCGAAGAACACCAAACTAAATGCTGAGCTGTATTTGGGAACCCAAACACTTTCGATCACTCCTTTACATTAACCACGGTTAAACTACGCACATACAGTATTAACTACCATCTGAGACTAGATGGTGAGAAAGCACGAGAAGCTGTTCAGGTGAGAAAAAAAAGACAGCATGGAATGAAATGTCGGACGCCAAACAAGACATGTTAGATTCTCTATGTTACCGAGGGTTTTTTTTTATTTCTACATTCAATTATTTCGAAATGTCACATGCTAGTAGAAACACCACACTACTTTGACATTTGGGATATTCATCTAGAGGCGTTCCAGTGAAAAGGTAAAGTCAGTGGCGGATAAATATCCTGGGGTTTTTTTTTAAATGTGTGTACAGACAGACAGGGAGAGGCAGACAGAAGGACAGACAGGACAAACAGAAATAACACCCATTAGAAAAAAAAAACACATATGTACTTCATCAATATCGCCACAAGCTGGAAGATGAGCAGGAAGGGAAAACAACCCTGAACACCTCGAGGAAAAAATGAGCTTCAAAAAGCTGCGTGAGAGTCACACAGTGGCTGTGTCGGTCGCATGTCCTCACCTGTGTGTTCTCTCGGTTGGCTGAACCCGACAGCACAGTTCGTTCTGGCGCCGCCGATACAAATGATGATGGCACGCAAAAGGGCGATTATTAAACTATCTAGCTATCGTGACGGAGGTGGGGGTGATAAGTGATTTTAATCTGGTCCGGAGCACGAATTGGGTCATTTTTCACCCTTACCGAGGCCGTAATAACAGTCACATCTTGAATTAAAGTTAAATTAAATTATTAACCCTGTAAAGCCAAGTGTATCATATTTGATACATGAGTTTTTGAGACCTCTACATCATCAGTGTGATATTTCTTTATCTTTTTTC